GATGTGGCTTTCTTTGCATTTATCCTATTTGGGATTTATTCAGCTTCTTGAATCTGTAGGTTTATGTAGTTACCAAATACGCAATATTTCAGCCATTATTTCTTCAAATATATATATACACATATTTTTTAAAGATTTTATTTATTAATGAGAGACACACACAGAGAGAGAAAGAGAGAGAGAGAGAGAGAGAGAGAGGCAGAGACACAGGCAGAAGGAGAAGTAGGCTCCATGCAGGGAGCCCAACATGGAACTCGATCCAGGGTCTCTGGGATCATGCCCTGGACTGAAGGCAGTGCTAAGCCGCTGAGCCACCTGGCCTGCCCTTTCTTCAAATATATATTTTTTAAGATTTTATTTATTTATTTGAGAGAGAGAGAGAATGCACAAGCAGGGGCAGCAGCAGAGGGAGAGGGAGAAGCATACTCCACACTGAGCAGGGAGCCCCATTTGGGCTCAATCCCAGGACTCTGAGATCATGACTCCAGCGGGAAGCAGAAGTTGAATCAGCTGAGCCACCCAAGTGCCCCAATTTTTTTTCTCTCTGTTCTCCTCCTGGAACTTCAATGATGTGAATATTAGATATTTTGTTATTGTCCCAAAAGTCCCTGAAGTTCCTTTTGTCTAAAGAGGTACCTTTTAAATTAAAAAAAAAATCTACTTATCTTTTGTGTAGACTTCGATCTATTTATTCCCTGTTGTTCAGAGTGGATGACTTCTTTTCTTTTCTTTTTAAAGATTTTTACTTATTTGAGTGGGGGGAAGGTGCGAGCTGGGGGAGGGGCAGAGGAGAGGGAAAGAGAATCTCAAGAAGACTCCCCAGTAAGTGGGAAGCCCAATGCAGGGCTGGATCTCAGGACTCTAAGATCATGACCTGAGCTAAAGGCAGATGCTTAACCAACTGAGCCACCAAGGTGCCCCAGAGTGGATCATTTCTACTGAGCTATTATCAGATCACCAGCTTTTCCTCTCATATCCATTCTTCCATGGAGAAGAATAAGCTTATTCCAATGAGTTTTATTTCAGTTATTGTATTTTCAGTTATTGTATTTTCAGTTCTAAATTTTCCATCCAGGGGATCCCTGGGTGGCTCAGCAGTTTGGCGCCTGCCTTTGGCCCAGGGCGCGATCCTGGAGTCCCGGGATCGAGTCCCACATCAGGCCCCCGGCAAGGAGCCTGCTTCTCCCTCCTCTGCCTCTTTCTCTCTCTGCGTGTGTCTATCATAAATATAAATAAATAAATCTTAAAAAAAAATAAATAAACTTTCCATCCAGCTATTTGTCTTCTAATTCTTTGAGACTATATTTTTTGGAGGGGGATGCAGAAGGAGAGAGGGAATCTTAAGTAGGCTCCATGCCCAGCATTGAGCCTGACAAGAGGCTTGATCTCACAACTCTGAGATCATGACCTGAGCCAAAATTAAGATTTGGATGCTTAACTGACTGAGCCACCCAGGTGCTCCTAAGACTGTATTTTTAAATTTTTTCAAGAGGGTTCATGAGTGCTCCTTGAAGCATTTTTACAAATTACTTTAAAATTCTTGTCAGATAATTTCATTATCTATATCATCTTGGTGTTAGCATCTACTTATTGGCTTTTTCCACTCTATTTAAGATTTTCCTGATTTTTGAAATATTGAGTATAATAAATTATTTTCTCTTGTACCCTGGATGTTTAGGGTATTGTGAGACTGCAATTCTTTTTTATTTTTATTTTTTAAGATTTTATTTATGTATTTGACAGAGAGAGAGAGAGAGAGAGAGAGCACAAGCAGGGGGATCAGCAGAGAAGCCCAACGTGGCACTCCATCCCAGGATCCCGGGATCATGACCTGAGCTGAAAGCAGATGATTAACCGACTGAGCTACCCAGGTGCCCCTATAACTCCTTTTTAAACGTGTTACTGCTGGGGCAATAATCAGAGCTCTGTTTACACATCCCCAGTACCACTCACTTTGCAAAGTGGCTCAATCACAATTTTTAGAGTTTTGAATAATCTGTCATATAGTTATTGTAAAATGGCGTTAGGGCTCTTGATGGGGTGGGGATTGCTGGTGATGAGCCCCAACCATAGTTTCAGGGAACTGAGAGCTGGGCTAGATGTCTGAGATAGCTTATCCACGTGGCTGGCAGTTGATGCCTAATGAAGTTGGGAGCATGGTGGTCACAAGGTGGTCATCCTCACATGACAGCTAGCCTTCCTCCTGAGTGAGAGTCTCAAGAAAACCAACCAAGCTGGCTTTTTTTGACTTAGACTCAGAGGTCATGCAGCACTTATGGCTATACATGAGCTACTAAGGCCAACCCAGATTCAAGGGAAGGGAACAGAAACATTTCAAAGGTTTTGAAGACCTGTGTCAAAACTATTGCAGTCTTCCTTCTGACTGCAAAGTATTTACATTGTTTCCACATGCAATTTACTCTTCCTACAACGTCATAACTCTCATCTATTTTGCATCAGGCTCATAATCAAAGTCCATGGCCTCATCATTTAGATCAGAGCCAAGTGTTGAGGAGGTCCTATTAATGCCTGGATATTGGAACTCTGGAGCACTTCTGGAGTGAGGGATGCAGTTGCAACTATTTGGGAAAGCAATGGATGAGTATTTAGGACTGCACTGCTTATTGTGGTAGTCACCAGCCACATACAACAATTCAATTTAAATTAAAGAAAAATGAGGGGCACCTGCGTGGCTTAGTCAGTTGAGCATTGGACTCTTTATTTGGGCATAGGATGTGATCTTGGGATTGTGGGATGGAGCTCTGCCTTGGGTTATGCCCTCTAGTCGGCTTGAGATTCCCTCTCCCTCCCCCCTCCCCCACTCACATGAGAGCTCTCTGTCAAATAAATAAATAAGATCTTTAAAAAATAATTTAATTAATGAATTAACGAAAAACTAAAGAAAACCCCACTAGCCAAATGTTAAGCACTAAATAGCTCCATGTGGCTGGTGGTTACTGTATTGGACAGCACAGACAGAACACATCCAACCTTGCAGAAAGTTCTATTGAACAGTGCCAACCAGACAATATAAGTTCAGGTATACCCTGTGCCCCAGAAATGCTACTCTGAATATATGTCTTAATTTGGAGTCTCCCAAAAGCATGCCCTAATCCAAGGGGACAGGGGGTTTATCTGGGAGGTATCCCCAGGAAACACAAGTCAGCAAGGAAATTGGGACCGAAGGGAAAAAAGCCAAAAATGGTGCAGGGTCTGGGCTACTATGAGGCAAGCCAGGCACCAGGGCATTTGCCTAAAACTGAGAGTGATCCCCCAGCCACCCTGTTTTCCCACACTAGTCCCAGCCCTGAAAGGGTGACTGCTATGAGCAACTAGAGCTCATTCCTACCGGGCGGGACCCTCCAGGCACTTGAGGAGTCATGCAGATCACACCTTAGAATCAACCACTAAGGAAAAGGGGAGAAAAAATATTTATTCACTAGCTCCCAACCCTCGCTGGTAGAAGATTGCCCCTGGGAGAATTAATCCTGGCCCTTCCAGTCTGTTCTGTCAGCGGGCAGGAGAAAGACCGCAGAAGGAGAAGAAAGATTACAAGCATATAAGGTGAGAAGCTGTCAAGGTGTTCAAGAGCTACCCACCAGATCTACAAGTGAGTGAAAAAAATGAGCTGAGGGGATATGGTGGGGGGCACCAACTGGGGTGCTATGGTATATCCTAGAAAACCTCCCACTAAGAGGATATGTATGAGCCTTATGGTGATGGGGAGCTAAAGACAACCTAAGTGTCCATCACTGGGGCAGTAGATAAGTAAGAGGGCTGTGGGCACACCATGCAATATAATGTAGCAGTTACAGAGGACTCGGTGTATACCACTATCTGGAGAGACCTCAGAAACACACTGCTATTTTTTTTTTTAAAAGGAAGAGTTAGAATGAAATTTTTAACACCATCCCATTTATATAGATTGGAAATACATATACACACACAAAATCACAAATTATAAAGATACATCTTTGCAGCTATATAGCAAGTGCATTAAAGTGGGTACCTGTGGGTAGGTGGGGTGGGAGTGAGGAACCGGTATGGGAAAGGTGGGGGAGAACCTTAGAGAGTCTTTCATGGGCCAATTGTGATTCAATGTTATAATCTGAAGGGTATGATTAATAACTCTCTGCACCTAAGGGCCAAGAAAAAAAATAAAGGAATGAAAAAATATGAAGTGCCTGCACATCAAAGCAATTCCCTACCTGCTACACAATTATTATTACCTTGGGGGGTGATGATAACAAGGCAACCAGACTCTGTCTGCCTTCTGGAAGCCCTCCTTACTGCCTTCTCCCCAGGCAGCCCCTCCGGTCCCTAGCAAGTTCTCTGGCCCCCAGCAAACGAGGAGTTCCCTGCCCTTTCATGCTACCCAGAAGGAGAGACAGGAGAGCTGCTGGCTGTGACTCCCAAAGGTTCCCGTATTCTCCTCTGGCTGTTTATAGAATGGGGGGAAAGCAGACGAGACTCTGTTCATAACACAGCTCAGCCATGACCCAGCTGTGGGATCTCAGGCAGGTCATTTCTTCCTTCCTGTGCCTCAGTTTTCTGGATGGTAAATGGGGACAACCACAAAATTAACAACCCACGGGAATGTTCAGAGCATAAAATGAGTTCCCAGAACAAGCTTAAACCGATGGGGGGAAGCTCCCTCTCTCGCATCCAAGCAGCCTCACCGCACACGCCCTGCCCCAGTCCCTGCCCTGCTGTGATGGCTTCCTATCCCTCTACCTGCCTTGGCCTCATTCAGTGGATTCCCCAAATTCTGGGAACCCCTAAACTAGGTCTAAGACTCCTTAAGATCGCTCCTGGGCTGGAATTTCAGTTTCTCTTTCCTTTTAGGCCAGCTCCAGGCTCATCTGGCCCCACCCACACCTGTGATTGTGAAAATCGCAATTTCATTTGCCTTTTCACTTTACCCACATCAGCCAAGATTGCTCATTTAGCCTGGCTAAAAAGCAGAGCCATGCAGCCAGGGAAGCAGTTACCATCTGACCATGGCCATTGCATGGGTGCTGGTGCTAGTGACTGCAGGCCTGAGCTTGGCCAGAGCAGGCCCTGTCCCCACTTCCAAGCCCACCACAGCCTGGAGGGGCTGTGACATTGGCAGGTTCAAATCTCTGTCACCAAGGGAGCTGGAGGCTTTCAAGAAGGCCAAGGATGCTTTGGTGAGTCCCCATTGTTATGGATTAACCTCTACTCCTCCTGCTTTGGACCAGCTGCTGCCTTGGGACTGTGGGCCTGGGCCGACCTCCATCCTCCTGCTGTGGGCTAGCCTCTAGCTTCTCAGCTATGGGTAACCTCTGTCCTTTCTGCTGTGGTTTAAACCCAAGCCCTCCTGCAAGGCCAACCTTCATCCCTGCTGCTCTGGGCTAGCCTCCAGCCCCCCACCCCCCCTTGTGGGCTAACCTCTGCTCTTACTCTCTAGGAATATTCACTAAAAAACTGGAGTTGCAACTCCCGCCTCTTCCCTAGAAACCGGGACCTGAGACAGCTACAGGTGAGCTGGAAGTGAGGTCACCTTTACCCTCACCTGGCCCCTCTCCCTCGCTCCCTAAGTGGCCCCTCACCGCCTTAATCTCACCTGTTCCTCTCCCTCTCTTTCTAGTCTCAACTCGCCAGTCCTCTGCCCCACTCCCTGTCCTTCCTCAACTGCTCCCCTGACCCTATCCCTCCCTTAGGGCCCTTTCTATCTCCTTTCTGCCTCTCCCCACATCCCTATCTCTTTCACTTGTCCCCATTACTTCCACTCTTACCTAATTGCTTCTTGTTTTTCTCTTCTCTCTCCCGGGGCCATCTCCCACCCAAGTCCTTTGCCGTGGCCAGCTTGTCACTGTCTACTCTCAATGCTGATTCGCTCCTCCTCCCCTCCCACCTGTCCTCCTCACCACTGACTCTCACCTGTGCCCCCATCATCTGTCATCCAAGGATCTTTCCCAGAGTCCACGCCTCCTTCCTTCTTCACCTATGCATCCAACTGTCCTCCTCCACCTGCTTCCTTAACCTGTCTCATTTCATGCTTCCCTGTCCTGTCTTTTCAAACTTCTGTGACCCCCTGAGCCACCTTCCACTTGTCCCATTTCACTCTTTCACCTGTGTCTTGCCTTGGGTTTCCACCTCACCTGTATCCTTCATCTGCATCCTTCCTCATGTCCTTCCCTCCTCCTGCCTCCTTTTCACCTGACCCATCACCTGTCCCCATTCTGTGTCACATATCACCTGCACTCCCAACCTGTCCCCATTCTTTTTTAAGATTTTATTTATTTATTCATGAAAGACACAGAGAGAGAGGCAGAGACACAGGCAGAGGGAGAAGCAGGTTCCCTGCAGGGAGTCCAATACGGGACTTGATCCTAGGACCCTAGGATCATGCCCTGAGCCAAAGTCAGCCGCTCAACCACTGAGCCACCCAGGCATCCCCAACCTGTCTCCACTTAATGGGGCCTTCTTCTTGCCTATACTTCCTCACCTTTCCACCTCTCCTGTTCTTTGTCACCACTCCTCAGGTATGGGAGCGCCCTGTGGCCTTGGAGGCTGAGCTGGCCTTGACACTGAAGGTCCTGGAGACCATGGCTGACAGGTCCTTGGGGGACATCCTGGACCAGCCCCTTCACACGCTGCGCCACATCCACTCCGAGCTCCAGGCCTGTGTGAGTGCTCGGGGCACCCGGGCCCTGTCTATGGGTTCTGGGCATAGGGGACCTCACCCCGCCGCCCCAGGCCCTGCCTCACATACCACCCTCCTCGGCTCACGGGTCAAGGCTCAGCCCACATCAGGTCCCCGGCCCCGAGGCCGCCTCCACCCCTGGCTGCATCGGCTCCATGAGGCCTCAAAGAAGGTGAGTGACTCGAGAGGGGGATGGATGCCTGGGCCCTGGGTAAGGGACGGGTGGATGCACAGGCAATGACAACCATGTTCCCCTATCACAGGAGTCTCAAGACTGCCTCGAAGCCTCTGTCCTCTTCAACCTCTTCCGCCTCCTCAAAAAGGACCTGGAATGTGTCGCCGTTGGAGACCTGTGTGTCTAAGGACCGGGACCCTCCCCTTATTTATGTATGAAACCCCAGGTCTACCCTAAGTTATTTCCCCTCGCCCCTTATTTATGGAGCTGTAGTACTGACCTAGCTCCAAAACTAATCCTTGTTTTTCTACTTTTATACTTTTTTTTGTGCATATAAACCATAAGGAATTGGAACCGTCTGGAATGGGTGAATTCTTTTTTTTTTTTTTGTAAGATTTTATTTATTCATGAGAGACACAGAGAGAGACAGAGACACAGGCAGAGAGAGAAGCAGACTCCATGCAGGGAGCCCGATGTGGGACTTGATCCTGGGACCCCAGGATCATGCCCTGGGTCAAAGGCAGGTGCTCAAACCACTGAGCCACCCAGGTGTCCCTGGGATAGGTGAATTCTTGAGTGTATGTACAATTGTGAGTCTGTGACTGAGTGTTGGCATCTGGGTGGTGTCAGTAAAATGCAGAACGGGCTGTGTATATATATGTGTACCTGACGTCTGTGACTGTGTGTGTGTACAGATTTAAGTGAGGGTCTACCTGAACCTGAGTCTGATGCCGGATGCATAAAGGCAAATTCATATGTGTGCAGTTCTGTGTGCATGTGTGCACATGCTTATATGCCTCTCTGTCTATCCCTACCTGTGTGAACTGGACATCGCTCTTCTCCATGGGTACCTAGGACAGATGGAGGTCTATATCAATCAAGATGCTTTATCCTATAATGAGTATCAGAAACCCAACTCAAATGGGTAAAGCAAAAATGAATTTATTATCACACATAACAAAAAATGTCAGTAGGCCGGGCTGTTCTAGAACTGGTTAATTCATTATCCAAATAATGGCATTGGGAACCAAATTCTTTCTATTTTTGTTGAATGATTCTTATGCTGGCTGCCTCATGGTCTCAAAATGGCAACCACAGCTCCAGCTGTTACAACCAACCACCTCAGATTTAATGCAATAAAAGGACAACCAAAAAAAAAATAATAATAAATAAAAGGACAACCATTTTATCCTGCTCATAGATTCTGTGGGTCACGAATTTGGACAAGGCTCAATGTGAATAGCTTGCCTCTGTTCCATTGTCTGGGACCCTGATCCTCCTTCCAGAGTTTTGTTTTGTTTAAAGAGTTATTTATTTATTTATATACGGAGATAGGGAAAGAGAGTGTGAGTGGGGGAAGGAGCAGAGGGAAAGGGAAAGAAGCCAACTCTTGGCTGAGTGGGAATCCCAATGCCCAGCTCACACCCACAACCCAGACATCACTACCTGAGCTCAAATCAAGAGTTGGGTGCTTGGGACGCCTGAGTAGCTCAGTGGTTAAGCATCTGCCTTCAGCCTAGGGCCTCATCCTGGAGTCCTGGGATCGAGTCCCACATCGGGCTCCTGCATGGAGCCTACTTCTCCCTCTGCCTATGCCTCTGCCTCTCTCTGTGTGTCTCTCATGAATAAATAAAATCTTTAAAAAAGAAAACGATTTTGAAAGAAGTTGAAGAGGACAAGTCATCCAGGTGCCCCTCTTCCACAGTTTTCAAAAGCAACGAAAACCAGGGCACCTGGGTGGCACGGTCAGTTAACTACGGGCTCTTGACTTTGGCTCAGGTAGTGATCTTGGGGTTGTGGGATCGAGCTCTGCCTCAGGATCCTCTTTTGCTTGGAGTTTGCTTGAGATTCTTTCTCTCCCTCTCCCTCTGCCCCTCCCCCTGCTTGCCTGCACTCTTTCTCTCTTTCTCAAATAAGTAAATAAAATATTTTTAAGCCAATAAAATAGGGACACCTGGTTGGCTCAGTGGTTGAGCATCTGCCTTCGGCTCAGGTCGTGATCCTAGGGTCCTGGGATCGAGTCCCACATCGGGCTCCCTGCAGGGAACCTGCTTCTCCCTCTGCCTGTCTCTGCCTCTCAGTGTGTCTGTCATGAATGAATACAATAAAATCTTTTTAATTTTTTTTATTTTTTAAGACTTTATTTATTTATTTATTTATTTATTTATTTATTTATTTTTGAGAGACACAGAGAGAGACAGAGAGAAGCAGAGACACAGGCAGAGGGAGAAGCAGGCTCCATGCAGGGAGCCTGACTTGAGACTCGATCCCGGGTCTCCAGGATCACACCCTGGGCCGAAGGCAGAGCTAAAGCGTTGAGACACCCAGGCTGCCCTAAAATAAAATATTTTTTAAGAAAATTTTAATAAAAATAAATAAATAAATAAATAAATAAATAAATAAATAAATAAATAAAATAAAAGCAAAGAAAAACTTCCAGAGAAACTCCCTATTGGATGTGCATGCTTGTCTCATTGGCTAGAATTTAGTCACATTCCCAAGCCTAAAGAAATCAGTGGCAAGAAAGATAGAAGTTGCCCATACCATGGCATGAATTTCTTTCTCCTTTGCCTGACACCTGCTTCTCAGGATTCCCTTGCAATTTGGGATAGCCATCCAACTGAAGGGCTTCTTAAATTAGTTAATTTATGTAAGGAATTTAAAAGAGTTCTTGGCATGGGTTAAACTCCATATATGTGTTTATTGCTTTATTTTTTTAAGATCTTATTTATTATTTGAGAGAGAGAAAGCACAAGCAGGGGAGAGGGAGAAGCAGGCTCCCTGCCAAGCGGGGAGCCCAGTGCAGGGCTCAATCCCAGGATCCTGGGACCATGATTTAAGCTGAAGGCAGACACTTAGCATACTGAGCCACCTAGATGCCCCTGTTACTCTTATTATTTTAGAATTATTTTCGGGGCACCTGGGTAGCTCAGTGGCTGAGCATCTGCCTTTGGCTTAGGTCATGATCCCAGAGTCCTGGGATTGAGTCCCTGATCAGGCTCCCTACAGGGAGCTTGCTTCTCCCTCTGCCTCTGTCTCTGCCTCTCTCTGTGTGTCTCTCACGAATTAAAAAAAAAAGAAAAAAGAAAAACGATTTTTAAAAAAGAATTTTTTTCTTCCCTCATGCAGTGAAAACTCTTCCATGTGTTCCCTTCCTTCCTGCCTAGTTCACTAGTATGAGAATGTGAGATCTGGAGCTGTGGTGGCCATTTTGTGACCAAGAGGCAACAAGCCTAGACTATAAAGCTATTCTTCTAAGGAACGTAGAACTAAAGAGTAGGAAATTGGGTCCTTGGCAATATCGATGAGCTCTTGCACCAAACCCCCAAACCTCCTAACTCTAGACTTCTTGTTAAATGAGATTACCAAATGTCTTAAGTCATGTTAATTGGGTTTTCTGTCTTTCGCAGCCAGATGTATCCTCACAAATCCATCTCTGTACACCCAGCATAGAACCTAGAGACGGTGGTCAATTAATATTTGATAATATGGGGTGCCTGGCTGGCTCAGTTGGTAAAGCATATGACTCTTGATCTCGGGGTCGTGAGTTCAAACCCCATGCTGGGTGTAGAGCTTACATCATTAAATATATATACATATATTTATTACATTACTATACATTATTAAATATGTATATATTTAATAATAAACATTTGAATCATATAGGAAATATCTAAATTCTGGCATTGGGCCCTCTTCAATAGGAATGCTGGAATTAAGGTTGCAAATCGCTTCTTGGAGATGCCAAGGCCTAAGAAAAATTTTTGAACTGGATGTATTTTGATTTTGTCTGTTTAGCTTCCACTTCTCCTGGCAAAGCTCCTCAATTTTCCTTTGGGGAATAACCCTGTTTTCCTTTTTTTTTTTTTTAAAGATTTTATTTTTATTTATTTGAGACAAAGACAGAGACAGAGACAGAGAGTGCACACAAGTGGGGGGAAGGGAGAGGGGCAGAGGGAGAGGGAAAAGTAAACCCCCTCACTGAGCAAGGAACACTTGTGTGGGGCTTGATCCCAGGACCCTGAGATCATGACCTGAACTGAAGGCAGACGCTTAGCCGACTGAGCCACCCAAGCATCCCTAAGCCCATTTTCCTACTCTGTCATTTGGTTGAACACATGACTCAGATTTGCTCAATCAGAGCACTCCGTCTCCAGAGCACAGTGGCAAGCCCTCCCTTGCCCCCCCCCCCCATGATAGCTTCTGCATCAACTGTTCCCTGCTCCTGGGACATGTCCTACTACTCTCCTGCCACCGCAAAGTCTTCACCTGGCTAGTTCCCATTCATCCCTTATGTCTCAGCTAATATCACCTTGTTCAGAAATCCTTCTGCATGGTGCATTGGGGTTCCTATTGCCTTTATAGGCCTATGAGCTTTCCCGTCCTACTTTTCTGGTGACTGTTTAGGTTAGATTGTATGAAACTGCCAATGATCTGCCATTTCTAACCTACAAAACTGGAGATTTCATGTGGTTCAACCTAATAGTATTTTAGTAACCCCTTCTCCTCCTGGGACACAAGGCAGACACACATGGCCCCCCACCTGGCCAATCAAAGCATTACATTGCCTTGGATGGGGCTGCACATGACTCCAGTCAAGCCAATCAGAGCCTCTCCCTGATTTTTTTCTCATTTAGGATTGAAGGAGGTTTTGTCATTTTACCTTTGGGCTATGGTGCTGGAAGCATCAAAGTTATAAGTAAATGGCCGTCCCCCCCCCCCCACCTGTTGTTGAAAAGGATGAATCTGAGCTGGGAGAAACAAGAGAAGAGAAATGAGTGAGAAAAGTATCTGAGTGGAATTGAGTCTGGAGCCCAGACTCAATTCTCTAAGGCCAAATTCCTTGTAGCTTTACCCTTAATTGTCTGCTTCCCAGATATATGAGCCAACAATGTCCACTTTTTATGTCTAACCCAGGGAAGCTGAGTTCCTGTTACTTGCTACCTAAAGACTCTGACTAATACATGTCCCTGAGCCTCTGGGCTCCCACAGTCTCCTTCACTTCTCACAGCAATAGGACTGCGATGGTCCCCAGCTCCAGGAGGGCAGGGACTGGGTCTTTCTTGGTTTCTTCTGAGTCTCCAGTGCCCAGCATGGGGCCAGTCACAGTAGAGATACTCAAACATTCCCCTTGGGTGATACTATACCTCTCTCACCTAGTGTACCTGTTCTTTGGGTTTAGAGCCC